ACAAATCCAGTTGTATGTTGCCAGTGTTGTCCAAGATAAGTAATTCTGAAACTTGATTGACTTTTGTTGGTTGGTGGGCGACAGCAATTGTTTTAGGTGGGCTTTTCTTGATCACTTTAGCACAAACTGTTATATATCCGTCAGCTAGAGAATCATCTTCAGTGGACAAAGTTCCGATAGATGTAACTGGCGTGTTGTTGGGATCAGAATACTGGAAGTTGTACTCAAGATCTTCTGGTGTAGAGAGGATCGTCTTGTCGTTGATAACTATCTTGGATTTATCTGGAGACATAGTAAAACGCATTATTTTGACTGGTGATCGTGTAGTCTCCTTCTCCTCTAGGATCTTTCTCTTGCTCTTGGAATAGCAAAGCGCTGCTTGAGAATCTTGCTGAGATTGAAGTGTGAGCGTTGTATAGTCGATGGTATTTTTTTTGTTTCTTTTGATTGGTGACAAGTTGTGTACGTACGCAATAAGTGATTGTGGACTCCCAGGCGGAACGCTGGTTGCGTGGCTTTTCGCACCAAGGTTAACAGAAGTGACGGTCTTCAGGGTTGTTGACTCGAGTAGAGGTTGTCGAGATGTAGAAATACTGGTGGCCTTCGAGACATCATCAGTAGTAGGTAAAGGAGGAGGAGGTGGTGGTGGCGGAATAGTTGGTGGATGCACCTTTTGTTTTTGGGCGGTCTTTGAAGTTCTTTCCTTCGTTGATTTGGACATGACTTGTTAGATTCACTGAATGGACGTCTTCAAGAAATGCGAAGCACGTGTGGGAAGGATGACAATTTATATAGATGATGACGTAAGCATGAGGATCGAAATGCACCAATTATATCAGTTCCAGATTTGAGTAGAAAACTTACCTCTTAGAGAATTGGGAGAAAACTAAAACTTACCTCTTAGAGAACGGAACTCAAAATAATTTGGATCCGAAAGGTAGTGGTTGTGCCCAGTCTACACGGTATAGTAAGTTAATTTACATCAAGATGTAAATAAGATTGGACCGATCTACTACTGAGTACAAATATACTTGTAAGTATTATTACGGTTTATTTTTTAAGAAAATATATAAGCTTAATAGAGTATTTTTTGTGTTTTTGAAGTATATTGTTGACAAAATTGCATGTTAACTTATATTGTGATGCACTGCCACATTAACATAAATTCCAGTTTCGATCGTTTCGATCCGCCATTTGTAATCGTTGGTTCATCTTCACTGCATGCAGTGGGCAAAATGTGGTGCATTCTTATTGTATTCGATATCGGTTGGATTCTGGTAGTCTTGTTTATAAAGTCAGATATAATTATGATCATTGTGTAGCTCAATCGATGATCCTGTCGATTCGTCATAACTGTAATCGTTACTGGATTGGGCAAAATGTTCTTAATGGTGCATTAATACTCCCTTGGGTATTTGTAGGACTCTGCATGGTAGGCATGTTTTTGAAGTCGTTGTTTTATAGCTTTGTTGTTTACAGTGACCATGTTTAACGGTATCATTCTGTAGAAAAAATTAGATTATTGCTTAAGTAATTTTGTCAAAAATTTTGATTATGTACGGGAATTTGTTACATTATATGACAAAGATATTTGTATCAAAAACATAATTTTCTTATTTAGTGTCATGAAAACTTACCTTGATTCTGGACTGTGTCCTAGGCCCTTATTTAGATAATTTTCAAGGGGCAGAAAGAATCTGCCACCT